TGCAGGCCCCACTTTCCATAATTCCAGCACCCTCATTAGTAGATTTAGGCACCCTTGGCCCAGGAACTGCTTCCTGAAGATACTTTGGCACCTTCCTTGTTTTGCCGTTTCTCAGTCCAGTTACATTCAAGGGCAACTGTTGCAAAGCTCCTCTGTTACTATGGGGTTCTGTTCCTTAGTTTCTGTTTCTTTGATGAGAGCCCTGATCTGCTCTTTCATTGTGTTTTTTCTTTGTAGTCCTCAAGCATATTTATAATAGCTGCCTTAAGTTCTTTTTAAGGTCTGTAAATTCTAACTTCTGGCAGTGTGTTGGAGGGCTGAGTGGGTGGGTAGGTGTATCCGTTTCTAATAACTGCTATTTGTTTGTTTGCTTGTTTGTTTGGGGACCACACTTTTTAGTCTCATGCTTATTTATTTTTTTAATGGTGTTAGATTCATGCCTGAACAGGGTTTTTTGTTTGTTTGTTTGTTTGTTTTTTTTTTCTGTTGTATCTTGTTGATAAAATAGAAACTAGATTCCCTTGCTTTACTCTGAGAAGCCCTGGCAGAGTCAGGTTTTTTCTGTCCTACTTTGTGATACTCACCATCCAGTGAGGCAGATAGGATTGAATCATGTGGACTCCCCTTTCGTTGACTCCCTTCCTAAGCAATCTACAGTCTTTCCAGCTTTCTTAGAAGACTCAAATCTGAATTCTTAAAGCAGTAAACCTGTAGTGTTTCCTGGGGCATCACTTCTCTGCTTAGGCATGTTGAGTGAGAAGCATGCCACCCATAGCTGTGTGGAGTGGCATTGCCAGTGTGACCTGTGGCTCTTGTCTCACCTTAGGACCATTGGTTTATATTTATACCACCTGACAGTTCTGGCTACCTCACCTGGGAAGTTGGCATGCAGATAAACTTCATGAAGATGAAATGAGCTGGTGACCAACAACAGTGGGCACATGGTTTGGGTTGGGCAGTTGCCAATGGGGCTGCAGGTGAGCTCATATCTAGGTAAAGTTAGGGACATGCTTGGCCTCTGTTGATCATCTAACCTGACAGAACTCAAAAGGTTTGTCTTTTTGATACATGGGATGGAGGTGTTTTGACATGACAGGCCATCCTGCTGTTCTTGTTACATTCAGGTAATCAGTAGAATGGCATCCCTGCTGACCAAGAACGCAGTTGAACGCCTGCTGCTGCCTCCATTCTGTGAACTGTATAGCGACGGGAAACTCTTCCAAGTTTGGAAGGTGGGAACATAAGAGACTAAAACCTCTAGAGTTTCTGTGCACTTGTTTAGTGGACATTCTGGGAAGGAATGCCACTTCAGGCTAGATGGGAATATGCATACTCAAAGGGTCTTTGATTCTTGAAATGATTTGTTTCAGAACCCTCCTGTCTTTGCTATGCCTTCCAGTCCACCCCCGGCTTCTCTTTGGGTTGCTTGGGATTTGGCTTGGCAGCCCTGCTTGGAGGCAGTGATGCCTCAGCTTCTACCTTGCTCTTTAGGCCTTGGGACATGTAGTGAGGTGAGGACGGGGGGTCTTGTTTACTATGCAGAGAAGCAAATGGGCTCTGTCTTATTACTAACCAAATGCATTATGTATCAAGATCAATTAGGAGCCAGGAAACCATAGAAGTGGGTGCCCTTTGTGAATCCCTGTTTTCAATGCAACAGGCACCTAGCATGGTGCTGTGTGGGCGATAGGCCTGGTACAGGCTTGTTAGCTGCCTGACCAGAGGGATCATTGCTCTCAGGGCTCTTGCTTGTTAGGTTTTATAGTTTGTTAAGACAAAAAGAAATACAAAGGAATGATTGTGTGCCTTTGCTTTTCACAGGTATTTGCCACACATTTTAGCGATATTTGTCACCCTGTTGGACAAGAAGCCACTGAGAAATTTTTGGTATGTGACGTTTTGCCAATCATAATTGCTACCACACTCCCTGGTGTACTTTGCTAGTCTGGCTAACAAGTAGGTGGGCACCGGCAGCCCAGACTCTGCTGTTCCTGCTCCTGTTCCTGTTCTCCTGTGTCTCCTCTCTCTCTGCTGCCTACCCACCACCCTTCAGGGACTGTTCCTGCCCTTGAACCTGCAAACACTAGGCGTAATTTTCTTGGTTTATGGTTAAAATCCAGAGCCTCACCACCATTCAGGTCCCTCACAAGTGTCTCTTGTGTGATACCTACAGTCATCCCACACCTGCCCCACCAGGCTGTTCATGCTGGCTTCAGCTCTGGCTCTGGCTCAGCTGGGAGGCCTGTGATTTTCAAAGTTCCTGTAACCAAGGCAGCGGGTGGAGTGCCACATCTACTTGACATGACTTTCACCCCCTTTGAGGCAGTGGCTCCTCTCACAACCACCCCGCTTGTGTGGTAAGAACCTTCCATGCTGCTAGCTTTGCTGGAGTACACTCTGGCCTCCTTGCCTGACCCACACTCACCTGCCCCCATGCCATAGACTGATTCTTTTTTTCTTTGTTCAGCCCTTGTAGCCTTTTGTGTTGAAGATCCTGGGGAGGGTTTCACAGATGGGTTCCTTGAAGGCAGGGTCGCCACTGTGCTCATCTGTGCCTGGGCAACTGCTGGGCTCTCAAGACTGCACCTGTCTCTTCATTTAATGCTCTCGCTGTGTGGTTGGAGTTTAACCTCAAAGAGGATTATTTCTAAATTGATTTTTAAATTTCAGTTCAGAAGCATATTTGTTTTCTTTAAAGTGTAAGCCACATCAACACCATTGTAACCCAAGACTGATTTATCCTGGGCTTCTGTTCTGAAGACACCAAGAACATTAGCATCACATTCATGTCTCTGGTGAGGGTGGCAGTGGCCAGCATATTCATTTTTCTGTAGGTGGCTTCCCGTCGTCAGATCATGCTCCCATTTGTGAAACATTTTAAGCTAAGTGTTTTACATTAGGATATTAAAATCAAAGCTCTTTAAAGGATAAAATTTAAAAGATTTAATCGCCACCTCCATGTAGATATAAATGAACATATATCAAAATTATATTTAACTCATTTTCTAATAAAGGAAACCAGAAAAATATACCAGCCAAGCTCAGTGGAGAGCCCTGTAGCACACATTCACAGTCTGACCACAGAACCCCAAGTGACTTACAGAGTAATGCTCACAGATCTGCCTTCCTCTGGGTATAGTGTGCATGTCTGCAAACAGAAATTCTTTACATTCTACCACTCTGTGTAGCACAGAATTTCCACCCTTCCACCACAGCCTTCTGCCTGCTGGGATCACAGGTGTGAGCCCCATGTCTCTTCTCAGTTGTTTGCTCACTCTCATCCCAAGGAACTGATCGTGCCTGGTCGCAGAGAGTGGCCATGGCTATTCACTGATAGGTTGTTCACTGTTGAGTCTCTGACTTTTAAGCTTTCTCTAATTTCACTGAGGGAGGAGCCTGGGCCCTTCTCTTGAGTGTTTTCACTGTTTTCTTCTTAAATTTAACCAAATCACTTACTAAAGTTAGGTGATGAAAGAACTATGCTTTCTTTTCCTATATACTGTTCATTTTGTATTATTCCTTTAGAGAATGTGTTTCGCTGTTATTTTATCATTGTTGTTTTATGTCTGTCTGGCTTTGCCTTCACAGGCTATTAGGACAAGGGTTGGCTATCCACAGGCACTCAGATTTGAGTAGCTCTGTTTTTGTTTGTTTTGGTAGATCCCAAAGTTTTTTGAGCTCTGGTCAGATAAAAGGTGGCAGATACAGAAAGCACATGCAGAATGCTTCATGGCCGTGTCCCACAACACCTCCCCTGAGGTCCGCAGGGCCCAGCTCTCACCTCTCTTCGTGAGACTCATCAGTGATCCTTGCTGATGGGTGAGTGTGCACACAGCTGGCGGCTCTGCTGGCTTCTGCAGCGTCAAGCTCTCCAGCTGTCCAGCTGTCTCCAACTTCCATCGTGGTTTCTGGTTTGTTTATAGTTTTAACATAGTCAGAGCTAGACATTGTGAGATCAGCATTAGGCTACTTAAAAATCTCAAAATCTTTGAGGGCCAATTCTAAGAAAGAGGTGCATGGTTCAATACTCGGGGCAAGTATACAGCTTAGAAGCCAGAATTGGGAAGAAACATCTATAAGTGCTTTGCTTTCTTTTCAGTGTTATCATAGGCACATAACACGGTCAGTGAGGTCTTCCTATGTACTTTATAAATTCCAGTGTCATGTGGAACTAGAAACATGAAAACTCTGTGTGGGGTCAAGTGCACCTATTTTCTGTTGACAATGGTTTGTTTGGTGCTTAGGACATGGTTAGGAAGCAGTACACCTGAGTAGATGCCTTAGGGTGGGTTTCTGGGGACCAGCTATCTCTGTTCCTGCCTGGTTTCAGACCTGGTCCTGCTGCATGTCAATACAGTATGCTCTCTTTCTAGGTGTGTCAAGCTGCCTTTCAGTCCCTCAGCCCCTTTATATCCACATTTGCAAACCCATCCCAGGCTGGCCTGTATATTCGGGAGGATGGCACTCTGAGCATCAAGCCACTGAGCCGAGAGGTGGAGCTTGACTTTGCCTCTGGATCACCCAGGCCCAGCAGTTGAAATGCCACCTTAGCCGGGTAAGCTCCAGCCAGAATGCTTGACAGAGGTCCCCGCCCCCTTCACCTCAAGGATCCACCCAGAATTCTAGCAATTATCTCATCTCCAGTTTTAGTAATAGTGACCTTCTGGGCAAGATGGAATATTAGAGCTTTAATTATGTAAAGAAGCAAAAAGTAATTGCAATAACGATTTCGAAACATGACTGCCGGGTTATAAATAATGAAGCTACCATGTCTCCTCAGTTTAGATAAAATATTCATTGAGGGTGGTGATTAAATAACCTGTAAAGAAAATTGTCTCTTTCTCCTTGATTAATGAAGTTCTTTGGAAAATATACGCAGGGAAAAAGGTGAAGTCTCCCAGATGTAGGTTGTGACTGGGGACATTCTGTGTATACAAAAGCCCCATCCCCGAGCACTCTGTTGACCCTCAGGCCCTTTCTAGTGCTAGTTGATCTTGGGTTTGTCCTGCGTGCCCTCTGAGGATGGCAGGTATGTACTGACCAATTGGGGTTAGTTTTTATGCAGCTCTCTGCCATAAGTGTTCTGTGAGGAGTGAGAGGTAGGACTGCCTGAGCAGTTGACACCTTTTAACACAGATCTTCTTCATCACCCTTCATCTGAACTCACTGTGCTTCTGCAGGTGTCATTCCCTTGCTAGGGGGGATGTCACTCCATGGGGGCAGATCTTCCTCATGAAGGCCTGCGGCATGGAGGCTGGCCCAGAGTCATCGCCTCCTAGCTTCTGAGCCTTTTGTTCCAAAGCCTGCCCCCTGCTGGGGTACTAATAAATATTCAGGGAGGTGGCTGGACTTCCTGGGGTGGGTACCATTCTCTGACTGCAGCTGTGAGGTTGCAGTCTTCTGACCCAAGGCTAAAGTAGGAAACGTCCAGTTTAGGAGGTGTGGACTGCTGCTTCAGTTTCTTTCCCATGTGCTCCTTGATGGGCGAAGCGTGCTTTCTCCCTTTACTCTAGTTCTAAAGCACCTGTGCACAGGGAGCCAGATCCACTTCCGGAAGGAACCTCAACTGAGGCCATTCTTCTGCACAGCAGCAGCTCTTCCACAAACACAACAGAAAACCAGGCAGGGGGCCCTTCCTCGTCCAGGGCTGAAATGACTGGCATTTCTCCAGGCAGCAGCCCCCTTCCCGGAGCTCCCTGATGTCAGTGGCTGCCTCAGCAACAGTTACTCTGAGGCAGGTCCAGAGACTTCCGAGGTTCAGCACTTTCCTATATTGGTGAACTCCTCTGCCTGACATAAGCAAAGATATGGAGGTGCTTCTGAGAGAGGCTGGGCCACTGGAGGAGAGCCATGCTGAGCCTGCAGCTGTTTGTGACAGCCATGTGGCCAGTAGTGAGATCCAGAAAGTCCTGCAGACTTTGCAGGGGCGTCTGCTGCATGACCCAGCTGTCCAAGGGGAAGGCAGGATGTCTGTGTGTTGTGCATGGCACAGGCCTGCTTCCTTGCTGGCTGGCCTGTGTGCTACTGTGTATCCTTGTAATCAGTTACACTGTATGCACCTGAGGTAGGGTATCTGTAGGCAGAACCTGTGGGATGTCTGGTTTCCTTGTTCCAGGCAGCCCTGATAGAGCAGGGGACAGTGCTTGAGCACTTATGTGATGATGGAAGGTTTATTAGCTCAGGGGACAATGATATCATTTCTGACACTATGTGTCCTCTCTGGCCAGGAACACCTCAGAATGGCCCTCCTTTTGGAACCCATTAACTCAGACATTCACTAAGCCCTAAGGTTTCTTTCTTATGCAGCTAGGAAAGCACACACTTGTTTGAGGTGTTTTTCTTGTCAGGCCTAATGCTCCCACCAAGTGTGGGGTCTGGGAGCAAGTCACCTAGCCCATACCCATTGTCATGCATTTCCCAGTTAGTCCTCAGCGTTCAACTATGCAGCGCTTCTGTTTGTCCGAGCAATTGGAAAAACAACACTTGCTGCTGTAGCTGGACAGAGATTTGTGATGCTTTGGGGAAAGGAAATGTGAAGATCCAGTTCACCGCATGATTAGGCTCTGTCCACAAATCTGTGAGTAACAGAACCCAGCGATTGCTGAAGGGATGGACAAGCGTCCCACTTCTAAGGGCTGCAGACAAAGGGCTGGTGTGGAAAAGCACATCACTGCAGCTGCTCTCTTTCCCGGCAACAAGAGCTGATCAGGGCTGACCAGCGGTGACCCTGAAGTCTGCTGGAGGGGGTTGTGAGGGAGCTCTGCCTAGGCTGTGGTGAGGACTGACAGAGGGGTGTCCAGAAGAGACACGGGGCAGGAAGCTGGTTGGTCCCGGGGATCCCCACCCTCGAGGTCAGGGGATGGGTTGCAGAGGATCTTCCTGTTCCTGGGCAGCCGCTGTTTGCAGTATTCGCACATGTTTACATAGCTAATTTCTCAATAAGAAAGGACTGCTAGCTTTCCTCAGATCTCAAAGGGGTCAGGAACCCCCAGAGGTTCAGAAACAAATGACACATTTTACATTCTGGCTGTTGCAGAGGGCCTGATGGTGCTGTACTTGGGAGTTAAGACATATTCCAGCACAGCGGGAAGCCAGCTACAAGCTCTGAACATTGGAGCAAATCTTTCTATCGGTGGGAACAGCATGTAGGGATGGGGGCAGGGCCTGTGTTCTGTACAATGGAGAAGGGAATGTACAGTTTTAATTTGTGTAGAAAAATTATGTGAAGTAGGTCCTCTAAGCAACCACACTAGTGTGCAAATAAACGTGCGTGTATGTGCATGCATCTGTGTGAGGAGCAGGGGAGAGACAGCCCCCCCCCTGCTTTGTACATGGGAAGTGGAACAAGCCTTGTCAGGGAGGATGGCCTCCTGGACTCCTCTGCTCTATAACTTCATTTTGTCCTTTTGTGAGAGACAGTGGAGTCAAACTGACTTTAACCATAGGTGTGTTTTGGATGCAGATGTGCTGCTCTGCATGGCTGATGATCAGCTGGAATGGCCATGTCAGTGACCAGCATGGCACTCTGGGGTCTCAGCATGAGCTCCCAGAGCCTGATACTAGGCAGTCTCTGCTTGTGAAGGAGGTGCACATGCCTCTGAGAAGAATCCCATTCCCAGGCCAAAGCTGGGTGCATACCCCTCCAAAATGAGCCTAGGATCACATTAAATTATTAAAATACATATATATATTTTAAGTTTCAGACAGGTCTTACATGCCCAAGCTAGACCTTGCTTTGTAATAGAGGGTGACTTTGAGCTTCTGACATTTTTGCTACCACCTTCCAAGTGCTGAGATTATAGGTATGCATGCCTCACCCAGCTTTTGGAGTACAGGGAATGAAAAGCAGGGTTTTGTGGGTGCTAGGCAAACACTCTACCAACTGAACTACATCCCCAGGCCCCATAAAGTTACTGAGATTCTTGGTATTTCTGGGTACTTCTCTTCAGGTATTATCTGCCAGCACTGAGAGCAACACAACTCAACTCCACCAGTGAACCCGAGAGCAAGCAGACAGAAGGTCTAAATGGAGAGCCTGTTTCAGATCCCAGCCCTGCCTCTGACAATCACATCCTCCTGTCGGTTTCATCATCTCAGAATGAGCTCTCTGTGGCCAGGATATTACAGAGCACAGTAAGTACTTGCCCTGTCCCTCAGCCACTGAGGATGTGACAGAAATCACAAAGCTGCGCTTGCTTTTATTAATACATCCCTGCAGAGAAGATAAATGGCAAATTTCATTTCATTCTTAAGGTCATGTTTTGGATAACTAGACAACCAATCAATCAGGTGATTGATCACCCTGAATCCCTTCCATGGGAACAGGGTGGGCACCAGAAACAACCCCCCTCCCTGGGGTGAGGCAGGGAGATGACAGGCAGTGCTCTTGGGGAATTAACGGTGTAAATGTCCTGGGTCATTGCTGGCAGTCACTTACATCTTTAATAACAGAAGAGGGTGAATTCCAAGTTGGTGAGGGCCGTAGAGAGTGATGAGTGTGGCTGGCCCCATGGTTCACAGACATCCTTTAATACCCAGATGCTTAGTGATGATCCTTCCCAGAGGGGAGACACTGGTAAAGGCAACCACTTTCCATCCTGCATTCTGGCTTCTGCCTCCTGTAAGACCAGAGTCCCATGTGAAACAAGAAGGGCCTGGACTTCCTTCTTGCCTGAGTCTCCAGAAGCTTCCTAACCCTTATGATACCTGGTGTTCTTGTGCCTTCCCAGTTCCTCCCCAGCTTGCGCATGTGCCAATAAAGGTGGTACCTTTTTACTCCTGTAAGCCAGGGTGAACAGGCCTTGCAAGTCCATGGTCTTCAGGACCTAAGCGCACATGGCTCTGCTGACACGGCTGATGATTTGGTTGTAGTGATCATTTATCACTCCCACCCTAAGCCTGTTCAAATGAAGCAACAGTGCATAATCTGAATCTAAAATGTTTCAAAGTTCCTAAAAGTGATGTTAGATTTAGTAAGATACAACAGGATGTCCTATGTTGCTGGTGCTTTCTAGAGAATTCTGGGAAAACTGGCCTGCTGCCTTTGTTACCTGCCTATAGAAAACCCTGAGTACAGAGGAGAAAGGTCTAGTCTATTGGCCTTGGTGGGGTGCAGCAGTACTGTGGCTTCTTTATCAGAGATAGAATTGGGAAAAAAAAAAAAATGAGCAGCCGTTTCAGCCAGGTCTTTCGAGGTGTATGTGAAAAGTGAAACTGGTGGATTTGTGGCTCTACCCTGGGGCATGGAGGAAAAGAAGATCACCCCTCCACCATAGTGCCCAGGGGAGACTGTGCTGCCTGCTCCGTGTCAGCAGAAGGTACTCAAGAGAAAGAGGGCCCGTGCAAGGAAACTCGACCCCACACGTCTCCTCACTTTGCTGTGCCCATATCTTTCCCTGGCCACAGCTGTAGGTAGGGTGCAAATGGCATTGTCATTGGAAGTGACACTCCTGAGGAGCTACGGTTCTCTAGAGGGGCTCTCCCCAGGGAGTTGTGCGTGCCTAGCACCATCCAGTGTGCCACCCTAGTTGGGTGTTTTTGAGAAATGAGCTCAAAGAACTTGGGGTGTTGAGTTGGAATGTATTGCTTACAGCCTGGCTTAGCTCCTCAAGTCAGTGATGTACACAGTGACTTCATTGCAGACTTGGACAGGGTTTGTTCCTAAAGTGCTAAATTTGACTCCAGCCATGATGTGTTAGTGCGTGTGGATCCAGGTGGAAAGTTGGAGGCACCATGCCCAAAAGAAACCTTGGGTGTCTTACCAAACTGTCATGTTTCCTGTTCAGATAGACAGCATGCTTTTCTGTAAACATCAGGCACTAAGGTCCAGGTAGCATGCTCAGAGCAAACAAAGAATCTATTGGGTATTAATTGACTTCTGGATCATATATTGAGCTGATTTGTCAGAATCCATTAAGACAATAGACAGTATGACATTTCAAGTGCAAGTTAGAAATCCGTGTTATGGTTGAAGCAGAAGGTCAGGTCCATCTCATTTAATGTTAATCAATGACCAGAGACTGACATGTCACCATTGAATGCTTTTGCTCATTTGAATTGTTAACCTAATGTAAAGGTTCATCAGCAGACATTAGGAGTGCTTGCACATGTGAGCACTCAGAACAGTTTACTAAGTAAATACTCCCCTGCTGGCCCCACCTTCTCTTCCCAGGTCACGGCTCCCTCCCTCCATGCCTCCTACCTGCACCGTGACTTGATTCCCTGCAAAGGCTGCAGGTATCTGTTGTGTCCTTTCTGAAAAGCCACCCCTATCCCTCCTCTGTAGCTGCATTGGAGGCTACTGGTTGGCCACACAAAGGAGACCCCAGACTTAAAGACTAGAAGGTGCAAGCCTACCTATGGGCTTGTCCAGCTTCAACCATAAGCACGGCCTGCATGGCCTTCTGTAAGGCAGTCCTGCCACCAGAGTATGGGTGGGGTCCCTTCCGCAGAGTACTGGTAGCAACTATACCGTGTGCAGACCCTGCAGCTATGCAAAAGTGTTTTCTGACATCAGAGGTACCACACACTTAGATGTTCTTATCATTTCAGACATGAAGAAAGGTCCTTTGATGGGGTGGATGAAGATGCTGTCCTCCTTTGGTGTCAGTTGGTAACCTGTCCCATCAACTCTACAGGATCCAGCTGAGCCTCAAACCAGTGACCGTTTGGAGGTGGAGCAGGGGCAGGAGCTACTGCACTTGAGGGGAGAACACCTAAAGTGCAGGTTTGTACCTTGAAACAAAAGAAAAGGATGAAACCCAGAGCATGGATCCTTGCGAGCAGCTGCTGAAGCCTTGTTTTCCTTCTGCCAGCATTAACTATATCTAGTTAGTTACATTAGTAATAGTTTCTCTCTGAACTATATCTAGTTAGTTACATTGGTAATAGTTTCTCTCTGAAAACCACTGTGAAGTAGTATTCAAAATCAGTGAAGCTCAACAATAAGAGGGAAAGATGACCTCACACTAATGCTTTTGAAGAACTGCTATTGCTCTTTTGGGTACAAAAATGTTATAAGCTTCTTTTGTTGGGCCATGCTTACATTCATCTGTCTTATAGGTTGGCCCCTTGTGCCGTACAAAGCCCCCTATATAGTTTAAGTGATTGTCACACATCGCTCTTCCGGAGACAAGCATAAGCAGGGGATATGTTTGTATTGAGGGAGGCCTCTCTTCAGTGAGAAAGAGCTCCTGAGGATCCCAGGGGTAGCCTTGGGCACAGCTTCCACACCGTGCCGTGCACTCAGCTCTCCAGGCTCTCCTCTGTGGCCTGGTTGCCTGCTTTGGGGCAGCTGACTGCAGTCACTGATGTCCCCTCTTGTTCTTGCCTGCTTCCTGCCCCTCTGCTTCACTGGGACAGCCTACACTGCTGTCTTTGCCCTCCTTGCCAGGATGATGATTTTTTTTTTCTCTTGTTTCCCAGGATATAATCCCTCAGCCTCTGCTTGCTCAGTTTGTGTCCATGACTGACTCAGCTAGAGCCCAGGCTGTAGACACTGACTGACATAGCCAAACACTGTGCCTACAGCCTTCCTGGGGTGGCCCTGACCCTCAGCTGGCCGAACTGGCACTGCCTGAAGGGCACATGAAACACTGGCTTCAGATGTCCAGGTAAAAGGAGCATCTGAGTAGGAGGCCCACGGGCTACGGTGCAGCTTGCTGACCTGACTTTCATGTGGCTGGGAGCTGCTTTGTTTACTGCTCTCTGGGGAAATGCCAGGAACATTGAATCACACAGGCTTGTGGCGATTCGTGTGTCTGCTGTTGCCCCTAGTGGAAGGTCCGGCGGACTCTTGCCTTCTCCATTCACGAGCTGGCAGTGATTCTCCGGGATCAGTTGCTAGCAGCCGACCTGGTATCCATCTTTAGGGGGTTTTTAAGGGTCTGGCTGAAGTACATGTAGGAGTCCCTAAACAACCTAAAGGTAGGAGAGGGCTGCTGTCAATGTAGGCCTTCCTGCAGTCTGGTGGCAGTGAAAAGCAGCCATGTTCTTCCCATCCTGCAGCTGAAATGCATACAGACTCTGAAACATTCATGCCTCTGCTGCTACTTGGACCCTATATGGCTATGCTTCTTATGAAGGGTCCTGGATGGCAAAATCCAGGATTCATAGGAGTGACCTGTCTTGCCTAGAAGTCACCTGTGGAAAGGGGTTGGGCCCAGATGTAACCCTAGCTCTGCACACAGGAAGACCTTTCCTGCAAGGTGCCATAGCCACTTCTGTTCTTGCTTTTTCCCCTTTCCCTTAAAGGAACGATGAATATAAAAATAAGGGTTTAGAAATTACTTAGGGAAACTAATTTGTAGCATAGCTACAGGGGCTTTGTAGCATAGCTGCCCCAGGGACTTTGGTGGTCACCGACCCCATGCAGATCCTGCCTTTCATGTCAGGTGAGTGTTCTCAGCCCCAGGGACTGCAGAGCCACTATCTACTAAACAGAGACAGACCTTCTTACGTGGGGAAGCACAAGGGTTTCAGGGACATGGGGTAGGAAGGGGTGGATGGGTGGGGTGATGTATCTCTACCAGAGGAAAGGCAAGAGTTCTTCAGTTGTTCAGGATAGGCTTGTACTTGGTGTCAGCCAGCAGCCATGTTAATGTACAGCCACATGGAGTCATATGTGCCTGGGGTTACAGGTGGCAGGGTATGAGGGAGACACTAGGCTTTTGGCTAGTGACAGCCTTAAAACCTGCAGAGAAATAAAGGGGGTGCTGGGGTCACCTTGAGGCTGAAATGTATAATGGGGGTACTAGGATCACCTGAAGACTGATGTGTTTAACAAGGGTGCTGGGGTCACCTTGAGTGACATGTATAACGGGGAGGCTGGGGTCACCTTGAGGCTGACATGTCACTTATGGAGGTGTGTTTCCAACAGTTGCTCCCTGAGAACAAGAGGAGAGAACACCTCTGCCAGCTGCAGGAGTTTGTGGTCACTGACAGCAGCAGGAACTGGAGAGTTGGATATGAACGAGCAGGGTGAGTAAGAATCTGTCTGGGGCCATGGGAGACGACTCGGAAAGAGTGCTTTCCTTTTCTCTTTATAATTGACTTCAGAACCAGCAGTGCAGCGCTCTTTTGGATAAAGAGATTATGTTTTTATTAAGATATAAACGAAATTCCAAAGCTCTGAGTTATATATGTCCCCCTGTCTCTGGGGAGACATCCATTTTCACACGAAGACAGGGCTAGAGTCACTCTGGAATTGAAGTGTTCTGCTGTTCTATAAGGCAATTTATTCGAACCAAATAAAAGATGAGTCACCCACTCTTCAATATTTTCCTGTGACTCGGAGTGGTTTTGCAAAGCCTTCTTGAACATTCTGCGTGCTGCCTTCTCTGTGAGCACATGGTACCTCACGTACTTGAATGTCCGAAGAATATTGGGCAGCGTGGAGGTCTGACAAGGTCTCCCCCAGATGACACAGCTATTAAGTAAAAATGCCCCCCATGCAGCTTCCTTGCATGCACCATGGCTGCATGAAGCACTCTTCAACCCCTATCTGCCTTCAGTCCAGGGAATGTTCTAGGCTTCCCTGGTTATGAAAGAGAACATGGTTCATTGTCCCCTTTTCCAGGTGGAGAATGTGCTTTACGGGTGTGGAGGATTTTTTTGTGGGGTGCTCCCTTGGGCTTTTGTTGAGGTCCATTTCTGTACCTTTAGTTTTCATTTTTTTTCTTAGCCACAGCTAGTCATCTCTCAAATAATTGTCTTCCTGAAGAAATCCATTAGGCTTTTGCAGCTATTTAGGATATGATTTGGCCAGTGCCAAACTGGAAGATTTTTTCTTTGCTGTGAACTTTAATCATTATGCTTAATTTGGGAGATTGAGGTTTAGTCATATGTCATGTTCGCAGTACACTCCGGCATAAACAACTGAGAAAAACTGCCCTGGGCCCGACGAGGGGCTCTGCGCCCCCTGGCGGAGGGAGGGGTCCGGGCCCCCTGTGGGCCCGGCCTTATCTCCCATCGCCCCACTTATTGCAGCAGCGGGCCGCGATAAGGGCAGCGCGCGGCCCGTTATTGGCCTCATCCCCCCCCCCCCCCCAACGCACACACACACAGACGGCGAGACCGATATGAAGCCGCTTGCTGCGGCCGGTTTCCTCTCCGCCCTTTTTCATTTCCTCTGCCCGCGTGCAAATCACACCATTCTCTCCCGCCCAAGCCGAGCAAAACAGAAAGAGTGAGGGGAAAAGACCTAGCGAAAAACCGAGGAGAAAAAAGAGCGAGAGAAAAGACTTAGGAAAAAAGAGAGAGGAAGAAAACACTGCCGAGAAAGAGCATGTGAAAAACAACTAGCGAAAAGGAGGAGGGGGGAAGACCTGCCGAGAAAAGGGGAGGGGAAAACTCAAGCAAGAAAGAATGAGGGGGATAAAAAGCCTTACCGAGGAAGCACGAAGGGAAAAAAGATCTAGTGAGGAAGCAGGAGTGGGAAGGAAAAACAAAACAAAACAAAACAAAACAAAAAAACCTAGTGAGAAAGAGGAACGGGAGACCACCTAGCTAGAAAAAGGAGGAAAAAAAGATGTAGTGGGGAACCGGAGAAGGACCTAGCGAAAACTCTAGGACGGAAAAACCTAGCGAGAAAAAGAGGGAAGGTGAAAAGGCGAGCCCGGCGGCGAGGCTGGAAAAAGCGCGCGAGCAAGCGCTAGGCGGGAATGCAAACGGACTGAAAAGAGCGGGCGAAAACGAGCTAGGGGGAAGCGGGCGAGAAAAAAAGAACGAAGGGGAAAGAGCGATGCTGAAGGCGAAGGAAAGAGCAAGCGATAAAGAACGATGAAAAAAGAACGAGGGAGAAAGAAGATAGAAAAAAAAAAAATTCGAGGAGAAGAGCGAGGGCGCCGCCATCGGCCGCTTGGCTTTTCGATCCTGCTCGTCCTCGGCGCGGCCGGGAAACTGCAGCCCGTGGCTGCTTTTACGGTGTCTGGTGTTGCAAGGCAGAGTTTTGTGTGCATTTTAAACATAACCGGACACTAAAACCTGAAACCCGCACCCCAAAACCCCTATTTTACAAAAGCGCCCGGTGCACGGCGGCTTCGGCACGGCGGCTTCGGCACGGCGGCTTCGGCACAGCGGCTTCGGCACGGCAGCTGCTCCCGCTGCCGCTGCTGCTGCTGCGCCCGCGCGTGGCCGCCAGAAGGAAGGGGCGCGAATTGCCTAGTAACTAATGTGGCAGGGGTCCCTCTGCTTGTGGTTGCAGGCAGCGGATTCTGATATTGGATCTCTATGTCCCCAGCGATGTTCATAGTTACCACAGGCACGCAGACAAAGTTTCTCAAGTGCTGAATTTCTTTCAAGCTAGTAAGGAGCCGGCAGCCCGTAGCACGTTTTTTGTTTCTATTTTAACTCCATTATTGTTTGGGTTTTTTTTTCCTGGGCTCTATTTGTCATTTTCTCTATAAGCCTGGCTTTTAATTTTTGCAGTTAGAAGCTGTATTGCTTCATCAATTTTCAGGATAGCCTTCTGTTATTAATTTTATGCTTCCATACTGGGAACTGTGCAGAAATCTTTTTGTATATGAAACTCTAAATAATAGCGTAGAGTTTTTGTTGTTTTTTGTGTGTGTATTTGTTGTTGTTGAATTCCACAGCTTTGTACAGCAATTCATAATGAGCAAAGCCTCCGGCAGAAGAGATGAACCTGGTTTTCACGGCTGTCTCCCAACTCCACAGAGCACAGTTTTACTTGAAAGTAGTGATTTTAAAATTTCTTGATGATATTAAAATTTTATGAAAATGCCTTGTCCTCAAAGGTAACAATTTACTCATTTCACAAGATGATGTGTTTTTTAAAACTGGACCCTTCTGCTTGATGCATTTGTCTAATGTTAATTCCCTTGTTTTTTCCATTCTCCTTGAAGAGTTCTATGTGCATGTATAAAATAAAAATGCCTTGTCCTCAAAGGTAACAATTTACTCATTTCACAAGATGATGTGTTTTTAAAACTGGACCCTTCTGCTTGGTGCATTTGTCTAATGTTAATTTCCTTTTTTTATCCATTCTCCTTGAAGAGTTCTATGTGCATGTATGTATTATTATTATTATGACCTGTTTAAACATCTCCCCTGTGTACACTAGTGAGAACTGGAAGAATTGCTTTCTCTTGCTTATAAATTGATTGTGAGGGTGGACATGAACATAAAAATGCCCCTGTGCTGGGCAGAGTGCTGCTTATAATTGCCTCAGCCGGCACTGTCTCACGGCTGGCTCTGGCTCTGCCTCAGCCGGCACTGCCTCAGCCGGCTCTGCCTCACGGCTGGCTCTGCCTCACGGCTGGCTCTCTCACATTGCTTGCAGGTGGTGGCGATGCTGTGGAAGTTGTACTCCCATGGTGCGTGTGCTCTGGGGCTCAGTTTCATCCAGGAGCTCATCTCACAGTGTCGGCCCTGCCCTGAGTCGGTTGGAAGGCAGGCTTTTGCTTGCATCTGCCGGCTTAGCACGGCCACGGAGAATCTGCCTGTGGATTCCTTTCCCTGGCAGAGCCTGGGGATCAATTTACTGAGCCTCCTCACCTTGTAGGAGACTGACCAGCTGTGTGAGGTACACTGTCTTGTCCAGGGTCACCCTGGGCACGTGTTCATACCCCAGACATGGTTGGTACCTACTGTGTTTCATCCTGGAGCTGAAATCCGTGATGAGCCCGCAGGCTCTCTCACCAGATCCAGCCCACTCCTGTCACACTTCATCCAGGGTGTACCGGAGCAGTATGTTAGAATGCAGAAACCCCTTTTCATGCCCCCAGTGTAAAGCTTATGTCACCTTATCTTCTTGATAATGCCCTCTGCCTAGCACCTGCAGTGACCAGAGCTCATCTTAAATGTCAGCCATTTTGGACACATCTGATTCTCTAGTAATAGCCCCTGAGTATGGAACACGGTGAATCACTGTAGCACACTTATTAACCTTTAAGGATAATTGTTTTAGGTGAAGCATTAACCCCAGAGAGGTCAAGTGGACCTATCAGGATCCCACTAGTAGTGGAAAGCCCTGGTTTTGGGGTTTTGGTTTTGAGGGTTTTGTTCCCCCAAATGTTATTTTTGTCATTTTGGTGTTTCATCATGCTGTCTCCTGGCACCGCAAAGGCAAAGGGGATTGTGCGCCATCTCCAGGAGCTAGTTGCCCAGCTGTGCTGACCGCCATCGTTGATGGAGTCTGGGCAGATCCCAGGCCCACAGTTCAGGTCTCTGTGCCTGGCAAACAACTACAGTGAGAGGACTCACCAGCGCCCCCTGTTGGTCTATGAGGACATAGCCGGTATTTTTCCACTGCACAGCCATCTGTGAAGAAAAACATTGCTGCATCATTGTGCAGCAAATGTAGAAATGAATTTTTTTTTACGCTTTTAAATATTTATCTGGAATTTAGAAAAAAATATGAGAAACAAGAAATGATACCTATTCATTTTGTTCAAGAAAAACCAACAAGATTAAAAAAAAAAAAACCACAAAACCTTATTATTAAAGATGAAGAAAATCCAGGAAAACCCAGTGCAAGGGAAGGATGTTGAGGAGATAGTATACCTCAGAGACTAATTAATTTCATCTGAGACCAGCTGTGAGAAGAAGGTGTTAGGGTGACAAGGCAGATCTGGAGCGAGACCTAGCTGGCCCAGAGCCTGCTGTGAGCTCCCTGCCAGTGGCCTGGGCAGAGCAGCCTCCATGCAGTGAAGTGTACCTTCCCCTCCTGTGCTGCCCCATGCTGTCCGACCTGATGCAGTCCAACTGTGTAGTACACGTTGACACCCAGAGCCTACTCGATGATCTTAGATGCCATCGCCATGGTGCCAGCCCACCACGACACCAACTTCCCTTAGAGGGAACACCCAGAGGACCCAGAATCCATACACCTGGCTCAAGTCTCCACTCATTTGTTTGTCCTAAGACTTTCAATGGCACCACCCTACTGGAACAGAATTTCCTCACTCAAAGAAACAAGTCTAGTTTTGCTGTCCAGGGCCAGTTGTGAGAAGGAAGGCAGGAATATCGCATACACACTGCAGGCTGAGGAGCAGGGCAGAGTCCACTCTGTGCGCAGGTGGATGTGACCAGCTTTGAGAGGCCTGAGTCTGGGCCAGCATCTGGTCTTCCCTGGCAGCCAGCCCCTGTCTTAGAAGCAGGCTTCTGAACAAATTATCACTGGCCAGGTGTGTGCAGGGTGGTGCCACTGTGTTAGGGGACAAGCACAGAGAATTAGCCGCCGCACACTTAGGAGACCAGGCTCAGAACAGCTAACCAACTTACCTGAGGCACAAAGGGACCAGTTTAAGTTCTGAACCTATACCTGCTGGCTCTAAAACCTACATTTTCCCTCTAGATCTTGGTCAGCCATTCTGTGGGAGTGAGTTATAAATATTAGCCACTGTTTATAACTAAATTCAGTTCTTGAAATTTAAAAGTAAACACACATACACACACAAACACCTCCCCCACTCCTACACCTTTAGAACCTATAGATTCTGAAGTAAATGTCTTTAGAATTACAGATGTATGTGTGCTTTGAAGACCTTGAAGAAGCCCCTGGCGGGCTGCAGCTCTCATCTCTGCAGCCTATAGTGAGTGAAGAAGCTGTTCCTGTGGGCCTGTTTGTGGAACACTTGCTTCCCAGCCTCCTGAGCCTGGCATTGGATCCTGTGCCACATCTGAGGGTTCTTCTGGCCAAAACCCTGTGGCAGACACTGCTGGAGAAGGGTGTGTGGGTCTTGTTGGCTTCTCCGTGAACCCTAGCTGTGACAGGTGGCAGCTAGGCTCTCAAGGAATTATAGCAGACTGAATAGTAGCACATTGGAAATACAAGACAGCCGAAGAGATGAATATAATTCTGTTTTTTAAGCAAGGATACAGCAGATACAAACTGTCACACAACTTTCTAGGTCGTTTATCAGTTCCAGTTATGATCTGAAAGGAAGCCAAAGTTCATCTCAAAGCTACTGCAGTATGATACAGAATGTAAGCTGTGTGTCTATGCTGGCTTGTTTCTCCACCATAGTGTGGGCCCGTTTGTTCATTTCTAGCCTTCTTCCTTCCCTGTTCCCTACACATGCCAGTTCTTGTGAACTGCACAACAAGATGCATTTAAAGGTGTAGTTGCTTTAACTTTTAAAGCAGGTGTCACTACTAACAGTCACCATTAAAATCTCAGAAATAATTTTGTAATAAGGCATTTTATCGTCTGAAAGGACTTAGGAATGTGGCTATCCTTGGAAATTTTATCCAGTGTCTTGACGTGTGGCTCAAAAGACAACAAAACTGGATATGTTCTAGAACACAGTTCATGGCACATGTAACTAACTTTTCTCTCCTTAGCATATTTTAGAAATGTTGGGAACCATCATCTTGAAGTTGTTGAAGCGACTTTCTTGACTCTGCAGCCTGACCAAGATGTTTCATTCTTTGCTTCCTCAGAATCAAAGATGCAGAATGCTCTAGATACCACTATACTAGAAAACTAGAACTATCACCCTGTGATGGGTACATGGGGATGTCTTTGATGCACACTTAAAGAAGATCCAGTTGTATTAGACTTTTGGAAGAGGCTTATCTCAGGTGATGGGGCAGCCCAGTGTTTCCCACCTCCTTGCAGACCTAATCAGTGGCAGTTTGTAGAAAGGTTGTGGGTCCAGACACCAATGGCTGTCAGGGCTTCCTCACTATCAGCTGTGATCAGCAGTTTGTTTGTTTGTTTGTTTGTTTGTTTGTTTTTGAGAAAGTGTTTTTTTAAATCTTCCCTCAGAGCCTGGTACAGTTGCTCATATCTATAATTCCAGCACCTGGAAGACTTGGGCAGGAAGATCAAAAGTTCAAGGCCAATACAGAAAATTCTAGGTCTGTCTGAGTTATGTAACAAAACCTTGTTCCAAGAAACCAAACATAAATACAGCTTTCCTTGCTAATAAAGTAATAGTAGAAGCTTCTAAGTATTCTCTGGGCTTGCTGCCCTAATCCTCTCTGGAAAAAAAAAAAATGGAGTTTATGGCATTGTATTTCATCTCCAACTGAAATAGCATACATATGTAAATAACTTGACAGGAAGAAGATACATGGATGTAACATTAGCCTCTATCAGTCATTTGAAGTTGTGTCCTGCTTTGGAATTGCTGCAGATGCAGCTCATTTTGTTGACCTTTGAACAATATCCTTACAAAAGCAGGTGGGCAAAGAACGGTTACCCTCTATTATGTGGCCCTGCTTTGGTATTATACTTTTGTTATAAACTGCTGTACCTGGAATGTACAGCCCTCACCCTTCTTCTATTTCAGAAACTTTGGAAATGGTCTTTGAGGGCAGCTAGAGTTTTAAGGTTGTTTCAATGTGGACATGTCCAAGGACTCAGGTAGGGGTGGGGGCAGGGGCTGACTGCTGAGATGCAAAGGAATTGATTATATTTTAGGCAAGAAGGGAAGGAAGGAAAGAGAAAACATACTTTCAACCTGAACTTCCTACAAATACTGTTGATTTAGGGAGTTAAGTTATGTATTCTTTACATTGGCTTAAATACAAAGAACTTAGATGTCCTACTTTTGAATTTCAGATGAACAGAAAGATACTGTATAGTTTTTTCATTATTAATAATTAATAAATATAGCTTTTTCATTAAATAATTCTGTATTCTATAAACATTTGATACGGTTTTGTATCTGTGTCCATCCTTATTTTGTATTTCTGATTTTAACAGGGCAAAGTAGAGGGCAGCCCATGGGGCCCAGCACTTCTTGTTAAAAATAAAAGTCAGGTTGAATTTCCTGGTACAAGATATCTCTGCAGCTCTACAAATACCATTGATATTTTTATTTCAAAGGGAAGTAAGGAGTCTATGGCATGCCAAAGAGAACAGGAAATGTGTAAAGAACTCAAAAAGCCAGCACAGGCAACATTTGGGCTAAATTGACACAGAGTTAATTCATTAAAGTTAGAGGCAAAAGATTAAAAACAAAAAACCCAAACGACCTGCCTTGTGTTTGCTCTGTGCCTACAGTAAACAGATGGGACATGCCGTGGGGCTTCTGTGGCAAACACATTTTATTGTTGGATTAAAAGTCTGTTGGTCTACAACTAAGGAAAAGTATCCAGATGGAATCTTGGATTCTTTACGGTTTATAATTTTCTATTAAAAAACAAAATCCAGGCGTTGCTGACACACGCCTTTAATCCCAGCACTCAGGAGGCAGATCTCTGTGAGTTCAAGCATAGCCTGGTCTACAAAGCAAGTGCCTGGACAGCCAGGACTACACAGAGAAACCCTGTCTCAAAAAACCTAATTAATGGTAAGTAATAACAACAACAACAAATTAGAAAAAAATATTCAGAGTTCTGAGGTAGAACTGTGGGTACTGAGATTAAACTGAACACTTACTTCAGATGAAAGGCCAGCCGTCTATGAAGATTGTATCTCAGTGATAGTTAGGGAATTTGAGATCAGTATATAGCCAGGACTACAAAACAACAAAAGCCTGTAAAACCCCTGCTAAAAGCCCCAACCTGTTTACAGTACAGGTTACAATTACCTGTCATTTAAAACGAGTAGATTAAACTACTCTCCCCCCCCCCCCCCCCGTGTCACTGCCTTACTATACAGTCAGGGGTGTCACCTTGAGCTGCCTGTGCCTCTCTGCCCCCAAGTGCGTGTATGGCTTGGCCCAAATTTTTGTATTTAACTGCTATACAAAATGTATTCTTCCTGGTAACAACAGAGTTTTCGAAGGGTGTTGTGGCTCCTTGTCCCTTCCCTGGTGCTTTCCCTCTATCCCCTGAAGACCTTGCTTCGGATCTAGCACTTGAGGGCCCCGCCCACCTAACTCCCCTGTGTGAGCTCTCCCTGAAAACGTTCAAGCCTAGCCTGCCCATCAAATGTGTTCCACAGTTTTCTCCGAGGATACCGCAGTGTCAGGGCCCATGGGTTTGGTGCCATTTCCACGCAGGCCCGGGCCACTTCATCGTGGCCCAGGCCTGCTTTGATTACTGTGTTCCTAAAAGCTCGTGGGCGCAAGCCTGGCGACCACCTTAGAAACTGGACCCAGCGTTTCCGGGTTTCTCCCTGATCACGCGGAGTGTCCCGAACAGACAGAGGTCGATTCCCCACAGCGCTAGGAGGCTGGCGAGGGCCGTAGAAGGAGGTGGAGAGTGGGGAGGGAGCCATCTCCGGAAGCGCGGGCGCCCCTCTCCCGTCCCGGGGGCCCGAGCGGGGGCGGCGATGACGCGCGAGATGACGCGGACGCGAGCCATGCAGAGGGCGGCGGACGTGGCGGGGGCGGGTGCGCGTCCGCGGAGGCCTCAGGGGGCCGCCCCTTGGCGCGACCCCAACGCGGGTGCGCGCACCACTCAGCCTTCCAGACAGGCCCGCGCGCGGGGTAGGGGGCAAGCCGCGGACTCGCTCATCTCTGTCGAGTCACCAGATTTCATCCCTAACGTCTTCCTCCTGCGGGTGAAGCTGGAGGAGACTGGAGAGCTATTCCGCGTGCCCAACTGCCGCAACGACATGACGGTGCGGGAGCTCAAAGAGCTGGACCTGACAGCCGGCATCCCCTTCCACCTGCAGCGACTGCAGTTCCTGGACCAAGGTGGCCCCTGTCCCATCCCTTCCCGCACCCAATGAGCTCCTCTCACACAAGGGACACAGCCCACTCCTGCTCTGGGTCCCCAAGATCCACTGAACTACCAGAGGACCCAAGGTGACCAAGTCAACCCCAACCACCTCGAGCCCCATCTAAAAAGGCCCCTTGGAGCACATGGGGTATCTGATTAGACCCCAAATACAGAGTGAATCGGGTTGACAAGCATTCTGTCTCCCAGGCTACAGTCTGTCAACCTTGAGCAAGTCCAGGCTCCTCAGGATCTCAAATCTCAAACTACAGAAAGCCCTTCCTGGCAGATCCTCTGTCTTCGTAAGGGACCCAAACCCCAAAGACAACTATGTCCACTTGAAGGTGCACACTTAGAACAAAACTAGGCCTAAAGAGAGACACCCCCCCCCAAGTCAAGGACAGGCCTTTCCCTACGATAATCTGGATCTAAAATAAACCCTAAGAGGTGAACACCAAGTCCTCTAGCTAGTTTGTCTATGCAAGCATTCCAAAACCTGAGACAAACCTTGCTGGTCTTTGATCCCCAAACTCAGAGCTTATCTGCCCAAATTTGAACTCCAAATCTCCAAGCTAGCAATAACTAGCTTAGAATCCTAAAACTCCCATCAACCATGTCCACACAAGGCTGCACAAATTCAAAGAAGCCAGCTAGACCTAGGACCCTCAAGACCCAGAACAAAGTTAGCTAAGACTGCACCCCATCTCTATGCTGTCACTGCCTCAGGAACCCAAGTCCTCCACCCACAATGGCCACTCAGGGAAACTAAACATAAAATTCTACCCACCATAGGAAACCCCAAATCCAGAGCAAACACAGCCAAATCTTCAGGCTAACCATGACTATTTTAGCCTAACCAAGCCTCCATCAACTGTGTCTACACAGAGATGCTAAAACTCAGAACAAACGTTACCATCCTGGAACCCCCAAACCCAGAACAAAGCTGAATGTTCAGATTTCCCTCCCACACTAACCACTACCAAAGATGCACCCCCACCCCCTGAACTCATATACCAACTATATATTCATTCAAGGATGCTAAAATTCCAAACAAAACCTGCCAATCCTACAACCCCAAGCCCAGAACATATCTACCCAAGGCTGAGCCCACAACTCTCCCAGGCTAACCACTACTGCAGCCCCCCCCCCCCCCCAAAAAAAAAAACTCACTAACTGTGCATACAGAGAGGTAAAAACTCAAAACCTTTCTTATCCTTGAACCACACACCCAGAACAAACCTGAACCCAAGTTTGAACCTCAAGAATCTAGGCTTAGCCATCACTCTCTTAGGACCCCAAGTGCTCCAACAACTTACTCAAAAGTAAGCCAACTGCTTCCCATGTTGGTACCCCAAATCCAGGATATACCTACCCAAGACTGAACCCCAAATTTCCAGGCTAGCCATCACCATCACCACTCCAGATTCTCCAGCAGCTGCATTTACATGAGGACACTGAAATTCCAAATCATCTTACCCACCTTAGGACCCCCAAATCAAAACAAGCCTGCCCAGTTCTGAGCCCAAGTCCCCAGGCTAGCCATATGACCATCAGGACCTGGAATCCTCCATGGCTGTGTCCACACAAGGATACCAAAGGCTGAGACAAACCCTGCCCACCTCAAGGTCCTAGTTTGTCCACACACTGCTATGTTTGAACCTCAAATTCTCTAGCTGCCTCTGGCCACACCAGAACCCTAAATCCCAAAGCAGACTCTGCCCACATCACCACTACCAACACAGAGCCTCTGTACCCAATTCTGAGACACCCCTCCCCCAACTGTCACCACCCATCTGTTCAGCCAAACCCCAGTCTACATTAGGATGCTAACTCCTAAAATGGACCTTGCCCACATCTGGACCCCCAAATCCAAACCCAAGTCTGTCTACCTTTGAAAGTCAGCCCTCAAGTTCCTCACGACCACAGCACGACCCTCAGCCCAGGCCGAGTATCCTCCTTAAGGATTCCAAGGATCCTACCTACAGAGAGCCCCCAAAAGTGAAGTCAAGCCTGCATCTTTGATTTCCCATCCTACAAAAACCATGTATTCATGAGCATCTCAAAGCTGACGCCAGCTGTGTAACTGTGAGGAAATGAAGGTTCAAAGCAACCTTGACTCATGAGGAACCCCAAATTCAATAGATATCCTTTAGCCAAACCTACTCATATCAGAACCCCAAATTTAGAGCAGACCCTGTCACTAGCAAGACCCTAAATCTCAGGGAAAATCTGTCCAGTTCCCCTCAGTTGTTTACCAACCACAGTTGCCTAAATAAGTCCAAGCAAGGACCCCAAATCCTGCCACACATATTCCTTCTAAAGTAGGACCCCTAACTAGACAGCAAACCTTGCTCTCATAGGAACCCCAAATCCAGAGTAAATCCTGCCCAGAAATCAAAGCAAACCTTGCCCATGATTATTAGACCCCCCATCCTGACACTAGCTTAGTCTCTCTCTCTCTCTCTCTCTCTGAACCCCAAGTTCCAAGCTGTGTCCTTCCCACACTGGGGGCTCACCAGGAGCCCTGCAGATCAGGGTCCAGTCCTTGCAGCTCTCTTGAACCTGGACCCCCACAAACTCCTACCTAGACAAATCCCATGGGGAGGCACCCAGTGGAGGCCAGAGGCTCTACAGCCTGTCTTTCCATCTATAGCCTTCCCTCAACCTGAGGACTTTGCTGTCCCTGTCCCCACTCCCTACAATGTTTAGGATATGAGAACAGGATCAAAGCCCCCTGCGCTCCATCATCTCCCCACCCGATGGAAATCAAAGTTGAAGATTGAAAAAACAAAACAAAACAAAACAAAACAAAACAAAACCTCTCTGGGCTGCCGGGGGAATGTGAGCAGCCGGCATCCAAGAGACACTGCAGAGTACTGCAGGGCCTGGGAGCGATGGAGACAGCTCTGAAAGCAGCCTGTCCCCACGCTCAGCTCAGCGTTCTCAGGCGCTGCCTGTACTAGGCTCAGTTTCCTAATCTGGGGAGCAGAGCCCCATTAGCTCTAGAATTCTCTGTGCTGTTCCCGGTGGACAGGAATGACTCTGCAAACTGCCGGTGTGCAGTCAAGGCCAAAACACTTTTCCTTGGTACTTAAAAAAAAAAAAAAAAAATAGGTTAAATGTTTTCCATGGCGCATGTATTTTCTGATAGAAGTTGAAAGATGCTTTTTGATTTATTTAGCAAGAGGCTGTGTTTGAGCCTGTCTATAGCTAACAAGTTATGAATGAGGTGAGCTGTAATAGGGGGAATGTGCAACAGTTCCCCCAAAAAAGGAATTTGAAAATTACATGTCTTCCTAACTCTGGACCCCCTTTTGTTCATTTATTTTCACCACTGACCAATAAATTCAAGCAAGCTGAGAGGGAATGAGAGGTGGGGTGACTTCATGCTGATGTCACAGTGCTAAGCCTCAGCAGTCACTTAGCAACTGGTGGAGGCCTGACCCCTGTGCTGTGCCGTGCTGACTGTGGCTGGCACATCTGCCCACCTTCAAGGTTGCAAAGGGAAGGGCAAGTGAGATCATGGCGGGGAAGTGTCTCGATGGCCATGCCTAAAGGAGTCAAGCAAATTCATGGGCAAGTGCTGCCCCTGGGGATCATTTATCTGTTGAGAATTAGCAGCATTTGTCTGAACCCAAGGTAGCGGCGGCCCATCTGCAAAGCGGATATGCCAGGGACTGCTCAGGAACTGATGCGAGCGAAGAAGCCCATCTCTCCTCCTTGCTTACAAAATGGTTAGAAAGTCAAGTTGTCTCAGAGCAGTGACAGACTGGCTCCCACGTTCAAGCCACAGACAAGACCCTAAGTAACGGATTTGCCGACAGTGCTGTCTGTCTATCTCTTCCTGAGAGTATGGTCATCAAATGGTGCCCACAAGTCTGGCAGGGTCCGACTTTGTCACATCCTAGCCAGGCCTAGCCTCAGTAGAGGGAGAGCCATGTAGGCTGGAGGGTCATCATGAGAATTCAAGGATGTCCTTCTCAGGTCAGGCCTAGAGACCCAGAGTAAATTATCAAGAATCTAGAACACTCATGGGTTCTGTTCACCTGGAGAGGATGCTAGGGTAGCCTAGGCAGATCATTATTGCTTATAATCCAAGTCCTCTGTGGTTCCTAAGACAGTAGGTGATCAAGAAACGTCTATGTGTTTATAAAGAGAAACTACCACTGTATTAAAAAGGAAGAAAGAAGAAAGAAAGAAAGAAAGAAAGAAAGAAAGAAAGAAAGAAAGAAAGAAAGAAAAAAGAATCACTCCTTCCATAATACCTTTCAACCTGGGCTGCTTATTATATTTTATTGTTTTGAAACTGTACCTCATGTATCTCTAGCTCAGGATTTGTCTTGAATTCCCGATCCTCCTGTCTCCAGCTCCCACATTCTGGGATGACAGGTCTATGCTGCCAGGCCTGGCTGAGCCATGCTGGGTCGGGCAAGAACTCTGACACTCAAGTCCAAATACAGCAAGTGCTGATGTTTTCTTCTGAGGTTACCGTAGGCTGGTATGGGGACAATCTTGTCCCACCAGGGGCAATGTCTGGGGGACATCCTTGACTGCAAGAGCTAGCTGTAGGAGCAGCTGATGTGCTACGGGCCGAGGCTGTAGAAACTGTGGTGCGTGGGATAGAGAAGGGTACCTATTTGAAAATGTCAGTTAAGCACCTACATGATAAAACCCTGATGTGGGCTGTCATTTGCAAGATCTTTCATGTCACTGTCAACTCTTTAGCCAGCTAATGGCTACATTGCCTGGAGTTCAGTATTCAGTTGAAGGTATATGACTTGCTAAGTACACTGTTGGGCCTGTGATGTATAGCTCAAATTTAAGTAGTTCTATTTGTAGAGTTTGCCTCATAAAACGATTTCACTGACTCATGTATTTTTCCCCAACAGGACAAGCTGTAATTACAAAATTTTATAAATCATTGCCATTGTGTGTGTGTGTGTGTGTGTGTGTGTGTGTGTGTGTGTTTCTTTTTGGGTCCAGCTTCGATCTGAGCTGAGCCAAATTAATTTTCTAAAAAGCATTAGCAGCAGCAAACAGGCTCCTGTGCAACTATCAAGTGAGATTTTTTTTTTTCCCCTTTGCTCAAGATTTTAAAAGTATCTGTGTGATTCAAGGTCGGACAGTGTCTAAACCGATACAGTGCTTTCTCTGAGTCCTAATTTTGTTAAAAGGAAAAATTGTTCCCCATAGGAATTTTGATGGACGATGCCACCCTGCAGTTCTACGACGTCGTCCCGGGAGCAGTTATTTCATTATGTATCTGGCATTATGATGGTTGGACCGAACTGGTTTTGGCTGCCGTGGAAGGGGACCCCAGTAAGGTGGTTTCATGCTTCTTTCAATATTAGGGGGTGGGGAATCCCAGTCTTTAGCATGAGTATTTGAATACAGGCCTGAGGGTAGGGAAGAAAGATGAGCCTCCTGATTGGAGTGTTCCCAGCCACTCTGGGTGGTGAGCCCCCCCGGGTTTACTTATTTTACAGTTTACAAACCTGCTTACTTCAGCCGCAGTGGCCACTTTCTATCCATGTGTTGAAAATCCAATTTAATCCTAGTAAAGATCAGGGCCTGTAGCTCAGTGCTCACAGACTTGTGTACATGTGCAGCTATCTGAACCCAGGAGGTTCTGTGTGATTTTGGGGAAGTGGTCTGGCCTCCTTGCACAGCAGCCTGTACCTGATGCTTGCCAGGCCTCCTGCTGGGCTAGCCGTTGGCCCTGGGAGAGAAAGGGAAGGAAGGTAAAGACAGGAAAGTTTACCTATTCGTGAAGATGAATGGTTAGCATCAGGCCAAGTGTGTGCTCTTTCTTCAGAAGACCCTGGGTGTAGAGCCACAGGAGGGAGAGGCAGTTTCCTGCTGGGATGGTGTTCAGGGGAAGGTTGGGTACAGGGAGAGGTGCTAGAATGCTTCCAGGGAAAGGCGGGTAGTGGTGGTCCCTGTATCATCCAAGGCCTGAGGAACAAGAGTGAAGCCTTATCTAGCCCCAGCTATATAGCATGTCTGTCCATCTACTTCTCTACAGCCCCAGTTTTCACTCCTGGAAGTTCAGTCAGTGCCTGTGGTATCTGCTTCCTGATAAGATAGCTGCTGCCCTCCATTGGCCTCAGTGCCCCTGCCCACATCACCCTCTACATGATCCAGACCTCTGGAGCACAGTAGTCTTTGTGATATCCATGGCCCTCCTTCCATCCCTCAAGAGTTGTGTCTCCTTGGGATGCTTCTGTGATGGGCTATCTGTCTACCAGCTGTGTTCAGGAAGTTGCAGAAGCCGACAGAGATAACGGACACAGAAATAGACTGGACAGACAGGATCCGTCACTGCTACATCAAGACCTCCCTTTTCTGAGGGTTCCTTCTGGGGGGGAACCCACAAGGAACATTGTGTTGGCTGGTATTTTCTCCAATGGCCACAAACATCTTCCTCTGGACATACTAGCAAAGTTGTCTTCTCCCTTTAAAGCACTGGCAGGCAGGCCTTTCTGTGTCCCCTGCCTAACTGGGGGTAACTGCGCTTCCTGAGTGTGTGCAGATCACCAAACGATGTTTCCTGTCAGCATTCCTCTACTCCCACTGTACATTTTGGTTTGGCTTAAGTAAATCTCCATGCATGGTTAGGGCGGGGGTCATGCCCTAGAGACAATCTTGACCAATTTCTTTCACCTAGCTGTCATGTCTTGGCGTCAGCGAGGATACCGAATTCCGAACAGCGAACTCACGGTATTTTCAGGGTGAGCTGTGGAAGCAGTGGATCGCTCAGAGGGCGTTTGTGGCCTTGTACATCTCTGCTCACAGAGGCCACGTGGACGCGGTGCGATATCTTCTAGAAATTGGTAATTCTGCAGAAAGCGTGGTCTGGTCTGATTGAGAGGACGGATTGACCTGTCTTGTTTCTTCAGCAGTGGCTCCCTACACCCTGGTCTTCTCACTCAGCAAACACATCTCCTGCTGGGCTCCTTGGTCATAAGCTCCTTATATCATGCCCATCAGGAACTTGCACTTCTTTATAGGGCCAGGTTTCTAGAAAATTCTGTTGTGGAAGGACCAAAATTACAGGACAGTGAGATGTGGGGGGCAGAGGGTGGGAGGTTGGTTCCAGAGGACTTCCTAGATCGTCCTTTCCAAGCAGCCCATGGTCTGCCTTCATCCTTGTCCCAGCTGAAGTAGATTCTGCAATGGTCCCAAAAGACCTTACCCTGGGTATCAGATGGAGTGGCCAACAGGCTGGCTGGAGGTCCTTTCAAATAGATACTTACCCACACTCTCTTTCCATCATGTCTCCATCATGTCACTTAAGGGTGACCATCTGTCTGTCTGTCTCTCTGCCCAAAGCTGTAGTGAGCACTGTGTCTGGGAAGATGTCTGGGAGAACTCTTTTCCCCTCCCTGGTTGGGGAAATGGTACCCCTGATTAAAAGGCAGACCACTAAACCGGACGATATACTACATCTTCAGAAAGCTCAAAAACATGGTTTCCTTGGGCAGAGGGGGTAGAAATGACAAGCGAGTCTGGCTTTCTAAGCTGCTGCCGCCATTTAGGACCCCTTTCTTTTCATCTGTGGTCTTGCTCAGTCCTGGCAGTCTCCCCCGACCCCCCGCCTCCTATCAGGCAAGGTAGAAGACAACTCAACTGTCCTGGGCAAGATGCTGGCATGCCGTATCTCTGCTACAGAGCTCAGGATGGTTGGGTGATAGCACCGCATTCTCCGCCATCCCACACTGCCTTTCTGCACTTCTCTTATACAATGAAAGATGGGCTTTCACAGCCCAGCAGTCCTTTAAGCTCATGAAAAGTCATCTTCGCTCTGATGGAACTGTGATGTATTTGAAAGCACCCGTTAAAAAATGACGGCCAGCTTTGCAAAGTTTTCCATCCTCTGCAGCCACCAAGGAGGGTGGGGGTTGGAGGAGGGTGGCAGGGTCATTGTGCCTGCATTCTGGAAGCCTACTTAAGCTTCGCCTCACCAACCAGCCATAGCTCAATTGGACTGTGTGGCAGCCGCGGCAGTGCCAGCTGGGTTGAATTGAATTGCCTTGTTTTCTGTGTCATGATTTTTGTTCCCCCAGAATTTGATTCAATCCCACAAGTTCATGCTGGACCCCTGTCATTAGCCCATCTGTCTCCAGGAGGCAGTGAGAATCCAGATCTGTCCACGCTCAGGCTGCCACCCCCTGCCACCTCCGTAGTTCCCTTGAGCTGTGTGCTGGGGATAAAAACAGCAGTGCTCAAACCATAGGTGTGTCTGTCCGCATGGATTCTAGGAGGGAAAGTGAGCCAAGGCTTCCAAATGATTAATTCCATAGTCAGTCACACATGGAATGCATTCAACCCAGTGCCTACTGAGCTCGTACGGGGTAGGAGAGGCATGGGGAGGGAGAGCTGAGGAAGTTACTGAAGCCCTAAAGAGGGGAAAATGCAAACATGTAGTCTGGCACAGGAACAGCATGTGCAAAGAGCCTGGGGCTGGGTGCAGAATGATGCGTTTAAAGGGTAAAGGGTGAAGGCAGGAAGTGCATGGAGCTGGGGCTTTGGAAGCAAAGGAAATCAGGGGAAAGCACAAGAGTGTGTGTGTGTTGGGGGGGTGGAAATTGTGTCGGAATAAGCACACGCAGTCAGATGGGCAAACAAATGCATCAAACAGTGTTTCACAGGCAGCAAGATTCAGTGACAGGCTCAAAACACGAGACTGGAGAATGCTGTTTACTGGGTGCCCTGTGGGACCAGGCTAGATGGCGGGGTGATGAGCTGAGGGAGGCCACTGTGTCCCTGGGAGCAGCATCAACTCTCCCTTGCATTCCTGCCACCATGCCTGGCGGCCCCCTTTTTGTGCCCCAGCGTCAGGAGGTAGGACTCCTGGCTAGGAGAGCAGGCCACTCCAGCAGGGTCTCTTTATCTCACAGGAACAAACTGCCTGGGCAAATCACCCCTGGGCAGGACCCCTCTGCATGCAATTGCAGCCACAGGCAAGATAGACTGCCTTGAGCCCTTGCTGGACTATGGTGCCTCCATCCATGAAAAAGACCTGAAGGGCGACACACCCATCTCCATTGCACGGCGCCTGCACCGCAGAAACTTCGAGCACAAGATGTTCCTCCTGTACTGGATGATGAGGACCGGTAAAAGGTCTGATGCGGTGCCGAGAGAGCCTCCAGGAAACTCGGGATCTGGGAATGTGCGGAAGAAGAGCTTAATGTAGCTCCCTGGGCACATTTGCCCATCACAATGCTCTGGGGCGACCTTATAGCCCCCACAGTGGGCCGCATGGCACTCATTAGGCAACAAAAAGAAGGGAGCAATCGAAATCAGACACCAAATTGGGTTGTCCTCTTACCAGTGCCTCTGGGAGGGTGTAATGGAGCAGATGAGTTGGTCTCTTTTGTAATCCACTCTGTCCTCACCAGGCCGACAATGCCAGCCTTTAATTTTAAGCTCTTTGTACGTGGCACCCAATCACACCAGTTGGGGTGATGGTAGCCAATTATCTCTCCCTTTTGAGGCCATCTAATGCACCAGCATAATAGGAGTAATAACAGGACTAATAGCACCCCTGTTACCGCGCAGAGCGAGCACGGCCTATGTCAGGAGGTCATGTGCAGTGTAGGTTGTGGAGCTGTTTGTCAAACCTATGCAGCTAACCATTTCCGTGGCCAGGGTTGGGACACAGGCTTGGCTGAGCCAGCTCTTAGGTGTCTGCTGCCTGAGTATAGGGCAGAAGGGAGGCTGGGAGTGGAGCCCTGAGCCTCCAAACGTAGCCTATCAGGGGGCTGCTTTCTTATCGCCATGGCAAGGAGGCTTGCGGCCTTAAGGGTGTTGAAAACAAGTGTGGGAGACAAAAAAAAAAAAAAAAAAAAAAAAAAGAGGTTGGCAGCCTCTTCCTGTGGTTCCCAACCAAGGGTCCTCTCAGCCTTCACGCTCGTCTCCCACTTTCCCAAGTACCTTCTTTCCCTGGGAGCAGACTAGCTCTGGGAGCCGATCATTGGCCCTAGGTACTACTCTGCTCTAGACTATACCTTGGAGTCCATCATGGCAGCAAGTGAGCCGAGTGCAGGCAACAAGCAAGGGAGCTGAGGCCCAGTGCCTCTAAGAGGAGCACTGACAGAAAGGGGAGCTAGAAGTTGCTTCATTTGTTCCAGAGCTGAAACTTGACTTGTGTGATAGTTTTTAACTCCTTGTTTTTCAACCTTGCCTTGACATTCTAAAGAAGAAGGTAGCAAAGCACCTTCCAAGGCACAGTTGCTTGCTACTCAACTGCTGGTTTCACTGGGAAAGTTCTACAAGGAAGCTGAATCCCATTAGGATGACTCCCAATTCTAAGACTGCAATCTAGGGACGGTCACAGGCCGTATGTCACCTTGTCACTCCTGGTGGCCATGTTTTCCTGAAGCTGTGAACCTTGACACAAGTTCTGGAATCCATGTATGTGTCAAAGGTCTTTTGGCCACTGGTCAAGTTTCTGGGTGTGGGGGTGGGTGAGATTGGCATTGCACCCTGGCTGCCCTTCTTTCCAACTTCCCAATAACCAGACCTTACTTTAAAATTAATAGTCTTATGTCTCCTGGTATCCCAGAAAGTAAGACCTTTGTTGACAGTGGTCTTACACCAGGTGACATGGCTGTGCCCAGGCTGAGCCTCCTGTTTGACAAAGAAGAGTCAGGAAAGCACACCTCAGCAGCAGAGACATCAAACTGAGATCTTATTTTTGGCAGACATGCTCCAGAATCAATAGGCAGATACTAAACAACCCCAATCCACGGGTCGGGTCACTCAGCTAATGAGGTATACGGAGCGGGGAGTGACTTATGGGTACCCTTTTAACTTAACAAGTGGAGTCCCTCCAAGTCTTGCATTTGCCAGGAGCTTGCTAAGCAGTCTTTGTTATTGGAAGAGCCAACTGCTTGGCATGAGGACCCACACTTTTGGGGACAAGCACTCCATTTCCCCCAATTCAATTAGATACTTGGATAGACATCCAGCAGCGTCAAGCTTTCTGTGGTGACATTTTCTTCAGTCTGGGGCCAGGGTCACTTGGACAGGCTTCTGGGTCCTGAGGACACATTAGAGACAATCTCAATGCCTTGCGTTGGATCTTAGGGTACAGCTCGGGTGTGTGTGTGGGGCTCTCCTAGCATGAAGAAGGGACTGGATTCAGTTCCCAGCATGGTGAACACACATGCGCTGCCCTCCATACATAACGCACACACTTGCCTATCACATGGATGTAAGCCCACATCACAGGCTGTATGGGGTATGTCAACAGCTGTGTGGTCTGCCATTGGTTGATGAAATGTTAAAATTGGACTTATTTCCTACCATGCTTATTTTGAAGAGTGTTTTGTCCATATTTCAGGGGCTAACAGAGGGGAGAAGGTTCATGTTCAGTATTATTATTATTATTGGTTTGGTTTGGTTTTCTGAGACAGGGTTTCTCTGTGTAAGAAGAGCCCTGGCTGTCCTAGGCTCACTTTGTAGAGCAGGCTGGCCTTGAACCCACAGAGTGCCAAGATTAAAGGCGTGTGCCACTATGTCGCTATCATCTTCAGTATTTTTGTGGGAGTGGAAAAACCTTGCTGGCACATGCCCTGGAACAGGTCTGGAATGCTGAGGGAGCCATGGTCTGCCACATCCTGGGAACAATGTATGTATGGAGAAGACACTGGCTCCCCTACATCTGTGCCTTCTTTGGGCTGGCCTTCTGGTCACCAGGGACCTCATGTGGAGTTGGAGGCACTGAGTAGGGGCCAGTGCAGCTCTCCAGGCTCATGTTTCTTGGTGGGTCTTCACTTCTCTGAGCCAAGGGTTTCTTGTAGGAGATGGAGAAGGGTCATTCCTGCACACAGTCACCAAAGTTGCTGGAAAGATTGGGGAGGACCCAACACCTTGTTTGAGACATCGGCTGGGAGGCTGAAGCGTTGGAAACAATGGTTGGACTGTTGAGAGGAGAGGCAGAGGAAAACCCGGTTTTTCTCTGGGCCCTCTCTAGTTCTGGCCCCTGAACTCTGATGACCAGTCCTCAGAGCTTAGAGCCCTGGCAAGTGCTATGCTGTGCGCTCAATGACCTCAGAGGCAACATGGAAAGGATTTTTCATATCTCTTCATCCTTGCCAGGGATATAGCTTGCCAGTGAGCCTCATGGCAACCTGGTAAATAGTTCTGGAAAGCCAGCCCCCAAAGGATGACACAGCAAAGGTGATGGTTGCATTGGTCACCATGTTTTCTTCTGCCTTGGCTCCGAGGGATCTTAGTCAGTGTCCAGCGACCAGTGTGCCCCCCCCCCTTTCTCTTCCCTGAGTCAGTCCCCAGCCTTGCCTCCTGATTGGCCCTGCAGAGGTCATGGCAGCTTGCCTCTGTCATGGAAGCCAATGCAGTAGAAAATCTAAAAACAGCAACACAAGCTCAGGACTGAGGTAGTAGGGCCTAGTCTCCTGGCTCTTCAGCCTCTGGTGTCTCCAACCCAAGTGTCATCATCAGAGAGTAGAATCATCCCTCCGGATTTGAGTCCTTTGACCTCCCTAGATCACAACCTGGATGTTCCCTCTGTGTCTACCATCCTAGTTTCCAGAGTATGGGGAGGGTGTCCCTCTGGACCATGCATGGGGTTCTGCTGAACACTGGGTCAGCAGTTTGCCCCATTGCAGCTCCCTGATCCTGCAGTAGAGAGCCTTGCTCTGTGGCAGCCTACACAGATCCCCTCAAGTGGAGACCCAAGCAAAGCCAACTTCCACAGGCAACGGTGTTTTGCCAATGAGAGTATTGCCTTGCCTTCTGGATGCCATGGGCTAGAACTGTGCACCCCCCCAACGTGTGTGTGTACATGTGTGTGTAGTTGCAGTTCAAAGCACAGCCTCTGTGTGTGGTTCCTTAGATATTATCTACCACTTACTGATTTTTTTCCATAAGGTCTCTAACTGTCCTGGAACTCACTCGATAGGACCAGGCTGGCTGCAAAAGTCCTCAGGATCTGCTTGGCTCTACCTCCTTGGCAATGGGATGGCAAGTGCTTTGCCTACCAGCATGATGGGTTCTTTTCAAAGATCTATTTTCTTTCTTTTTTTTTTTTCTTTTTCTTTTTCTTTTCTTTTCTTTTTTTTTATTCTGCAGGGGTGTTTTGCCTTCATGTATGTCTGGTGCCTGCAGAGCTCAGACAAGTGTTGCTAGATGCCCTGGAACTGGAGTACAGATGGTTGTGAGCCACCACATGGGTGTTGGGATTTGAACTTGGGTCCTCTGCAAGAGCAGCCAGTGTGCTTAACCACTGAACTATGTCTCCAGGCTCCATCCTGGGTTTCTTTATGTGGGCTCCAGGGCTCAAACTCGGGTCCTCAGTAAGCTTTGCTGATGGAGCCGTCTCCCCAGTCCTCCTCCCTATCAGTTGTGTGACCTCAGGACCACTGGCAGTCACCTGAGACCCTCAGCTTCCTCCGTATCATACGTTGGTCTGGTCCTAAACAACCAGTCATGTTGCTGGCTCTGTGGTCTGGCACACATGCTTTGGAGGATTCCTCTGCCCCTAGGTATGTGGCATTAGGCAGACCAGGGGGCCAGCTTTGGGGTCTCAGTGGCTCATGTGGAGTGTTTGGGGTAATAAAACCTGCCCCTGTTGCCACCGGAGAGAGGAAAAGCCTGGCACAAAGCAGGCACTTGAAAAAAATGGCAGGCATTACTTGTATTATTATACCACCAGCACTTAATTTGCTTAGAATGTTTACTCGCTGAGAATCGATCCCCTCCCGGATTCCGGAGAGACTCATAAATTCTCAGCAAACCTTATACAATAAGAGTCTCCATCCAGAACTAATAATTCCCAAAGTGGGAGATTAATAATTTCCCGTAAACTTGCTGCTCTGGACATTAAGTGGAAGGCTTTTTTTTTTTTTTTCAGCAACTCATAGAACGCCCCCAGCCCAGCGCTACTTCAGAATAACAACCGCTCTCAAGCATAGGAAAATTCCAGTCTCCAGGCCCTGCCTCCGCAGTGCGCATAAAATACAGAGGCAGCCAGTAGAGGGCACAGAAACCCATTAACATTTAGCAAAACACCGGGGTTTGTGTTCTGCGGAAATGTCAGAGATGCTGCTATCTGCGTCACTTGAAAATTCAAGAGTGGGGCTCAGTTTGGGGGGCTCGAGGATGGCGTTTCTGCCTGAACCTTGGAATGGACTGCGGAAGTGAGCTTTAGGGACACATGCACTGGCCAGG